AGAAATCCCAACAGAAGATTTCTTAAGTAGGTCATTTTCTTAGAGCTTAGAAATAGAGTTACTTCTCAGGGTTTCTTGATTCGGAGCTATGGGAAGCTATGACAATGACAGCATTTCAAAACTGGTTTTAAAGTATTATATAGACATTGCCTATATTATGAAGTCAATGAGCTTAGAATGTTGTAACTCTGCTTAGGATACTACTGTTAATGCCTCTCCTATCTTTGTATTGTCTCCCCCTGCTTCCCTTTTTGCTTCAACCACATTTCAAAACCTATGTAATTCCAAATATACCATTAGACTACATTAAAATCATGAAGATATATTCTGATAGCTGAATGCAGGATTTTGGTTGCGGTATGACAAACCTGACTTCCCATCAATGCCACGTATAAATATTTCTCTATGATTATTGGCCTACTTGCCTGGTAATATACATTCACTGCTGTTGTTGGATGACAGTGATCTTGGGACTATATTTGAGTCCAGAAATACATCTCCTGAAGTTCAATCTACAAATTTATGACTGCCTCTTCCTCAACTAGAAATATAAAAACAGAGCTGGAAGGGACTTCAAGGCTCATCTAATCCAATCCCTGCACAATACAGGAAATTCAAAACTACCTACTAACCCCCCTCCCATTCTCCCAGTGAAACCCTGCTCTATGCCCAGAGGAAGGCAAAAAAACCCCTCCAGGATCCCTGGACAATATAGCCTGGAGGAAAATTCCTTCCTGATCCCAAAGTGGCGATCAGTATTACCCTGTACAGGTAAGAAAGTAGGGCTGCCAGGTCCCTTTGAGATGCCAGCAGGGGGATGGTGGGACGTTCTGGGAGGCAGAAGCATTGCCCCGACGTGCCAATATCACCAGAGGTATATTGGGGGACGTATACTGGGGGACATAGGTATGTTGGGAGCAACACTCTGGCTTTTTTGCAAAACTTTATGTTAAATCACCCTCAAACCATAGAGTTTTGCCATAAAACCAGAGCATCACGCCTCCCCCGACATCACCAACGTGCCTATGTCACTTCCAGGTGACATAGGCACATCACTTGCCAACGTCATTCTTAAACTGCGGTGCCCAGGGGTCATTTCGAGGGGGAATGAGCCAGAAGTAACAAGCCCAGGGAGTAACAAGCCCAGGCATTGGGTTGGCTGGGGAGGGGAAGGGGGGGCAGGCAGACATGCCCCCTTTTTCCCCTGAGCCTCTCTGCTTTTGCGGAGAAACTCGGGGAAGTGGGGGGGATTTAAATGCCTTTCTTTCCCTTCCCCAGATGGGGAAGGGAAA